TACTTATCCTCTATTGTTGAATTTGTTATCATATCTTAGATGGAGCTCTTTTATACCTCCATAAGCCAAGAACATGTCCTTTATCCTCCATAGGTACTTGAAATGTTCTTGATAACAATCCAAAGATTTTCACTAGGATTAGCTTGATAATGAATTGTCATGCTCAAAGAACACGAGACATTAGCCCTTATACATATCATAGCATATATATACAATCCCAAAACCAAAACATATGGAACAAAAATCATTCTCTCTAGCTCATTTGTAGAACTAGGACATGCATCTCTGCTCAATGTCACACCATGCTACATAGGCACAAACCCTTTCTTAGAGTCCTACATCTTTTCTTCAAGACTTTATCCATGTATGTACTCTCACTCAATCCAACGATTCGCTTATATCTATCTCTATAGATCTTTATACCTAGTATGTATGTTTCTTCTCTTAATTCTTTCTAAGATAAACAATCCCCAAGCAAAGTTTTCACACTTCGCAAAGTTGGGACATCATTTTCTGTAAGTAGTATATCATTGACACATAGTATAAGGAAGAAAACAACAGCACTCCCACTAGCTATAATATATATATATATATATATATATATATATATATATATATATATATATATATATATGGCTCATCTTCACTCCTTAAAATACCGAACTCTTTGACTTTCTCATCTAAGAAAAGATTCCAACTACGAGATGTTTTTATAAGTCCATAAACTGAATTTTCAGACGTTCACGCTCTATTTGGATACTTATACTATACAAAATCCTCTAGATGTGTCAAATACACATCCTCTGATAGTTTCACATTAAGGAACTTGACTTTTACATCCATTTTCTATTTCATAATCATGTAATGATGTTATGGAAAATAATATCCTAATAGATTTAAGCATCCCCATTGAGCAGAGATGTGTGTCCTAGTTCTCCCTAGCATCACCTTGAGTATGAGTAAAACCTCTTACAACCAGCCGTGATTTGTATGTATATACCTTACCATCCATGCATATCTTCTTCTTGAAGAATTATTTACATCTGACGGTTTTAAGGTCATATGTTTGATCAACCAAGCTCCAAACTTGGTTAGCATACATGGATACCATTTTGCTCTCCATAATCTTATTCTATTTGGCAGACTCAAGGCATATCATGCCTTCCTGATAGTTGGTAGGCTCATCATGACGTACTATATCAGATCTCTGGACAAGAGGTGGAGGTATGTCATATTCCTATACAACTTTTTTATGAGGCTCAATAGCTTTTTTCAACCTCTAGTTGAGAGCTAGTGTTAACATTGGGACCTTTGTTGGTTTACTCTAGAATTTTTTCTTAAGATTAATTTGGCTCCCATTGGTCTCTTTAGATATAAACTCCCTTTCACAGAAGACTGTCCATTGAGGAAAAAAAATTTGTTCTCTGAAGGTTTGTAAAACAAATATGCAAAATATCTAGCATGATATCCAACATTATAATATCTCTTTGATTTAGGTTCTAACTTGTCGCAAACTTCACGATGGATGTAAGACTCACAACCCCAAAATTTCAAATGTGATAATGAGGGAGTATCTTCAATGTTTCAGATGGTGTCTTGGAAACCTTCTTAGTTGGTACAAGGTTCAAGACTTTAGCACCAGCCTATAAGGCGTAGCCATAGAAATTGATCAAAATCGTAGAATGACTTGTCATGGATCAAATATATCAAGTAATGTTTTGTTTCTCTTCTCAACTACACCATTATGTTACAGTGTTCCATGATAATTCAAATGTGAAACAATTCCATAGTTCCTTAGGTAATCATTGAATTATTGACTAACATATTCCCCACCCTTATCGGATCATAGGACCTTAATTCTTTTTCCTATCGAATTCTCTACCTCGTTATAGAATGTCCTCAACACCTCAAATGTTTTAAATTTATGTTTAATAATATAAATAACCATATCTAATGAAGTAATCAATAAATGTAACAAAGTATCTCTCATCATGTCTCGTAGCTGATCTAAATGGTTCATATACATTGGTGTGTATAAGATCCAAGATAACCTTACCTCTTTCACAGCTTTTTATGAATAACGCCTTTTTCATCTTCCCTAATAAACAAGACAAGCATACATCATCTGTAACATCCCTCATATGGGCCCATTTGAAATATCCATTAGTAAAATCTTTTATAAATGATAGTCCCAACGTAGTTCATGCAAGACTCCTATCTTAGATAGTTAGACACCAACCTCTAGAGCCTACAATGTAAGTAATTACCTTTTTATACCTTGTGGATCATAATATGTGTTTACATAGATGTTTGCGTTGGCAAATATGAAATTTCAAGAATTGTGACCATATTTATATTTATAGTTTCATGGTCAAATACAAGACTCCAAGATGAATCTATATATAGCATTTAAGGTACTAAAATTATTTTATTTTTCTAACTATTTCTAAATTATTATCGAAAACCCTATAGGATCATCTTTTTTTTATTTGTGTGCTTTAATTGTGTAAAGTTCTTTTTTTAGGTAAAATGTCATAAAAGCCCTCAAAATTGTAACTTTTTTGGTTTTTACAAAAGTAGTTTTTTATGTCCCTTAATGCCTCATATTTAGTTTTTTCATTTAAAACTTTTAACCGGTTTTCGCTCATTAGTCGGTCAGTATTTCCTCTAAAACTCTTCACACACATCATGAACACACAAACACAAGATGGGTTTGTTTCTCTGTTTGAAGAAACACAATCATACGTGTAGTGTGTGTGACGAGGAGAAAAGAGGGGAAAATTGTAGATCTATGAGCACGCACGCACACCTACTAATCAATTCCAAGGAGGGTGTGGGGTTGTACTTTTTATGCTATGAAATCTGAGAGAAGATGTTAGTAAAATCGAAATGGGTTGTCTCTAGATGAAGGATTGTCAGAACATCATGGAGGAAGTCGGACATTCTATCCTTATTTGGGTAGTGGCGAAGGTGAGTCATCAGAAATACCACCTCCTCCACCGTCGATGAAGCATCATTTCCTGCCACCTCCTTTATCTTTAAACCTCTTCACACACCACCCCCAACTCCATTGGAACGACCACCCCCACCACCATCAGATTAAGCCAAAAACACCAGTGAAAGTGGTGATGGAAGGGTTTACAACAGAGGTAGAGGAGACACCCTTATTTCTCATCATTTTCTTTATTTCATACATGTGTATCGATTTTGGTGGTACACTTGTTTGAGTAAGTTTTTTCTCATGGTGAACATACATAACTAAAGAACTAGTGGCATCAATTTCAGATTGATGAGTGGGGTTGAACCAGAGAGCTGACTTGTTTAGGGAAGACGATGATGGTGGGAACTTTTGTCTATTATGGGTGCAACAACAAAGAATAAGGGGATAGGATAAGGGGGCCCACTAACTTGGCCATGGTAACCAACTAATGAAAGCAAAACCAGATAAAAAATTTAAATGAAAAAATGAGTGCAAATGTGAGGCGGACACAAAAAACGAATTATGGTAAAACCTACAAAAAGTTGCAAACTTAAGGGCTTTTATAGCATTTGTCCTTTTTTGTATGAAAGAAAGGATCCAGATATGCCAAACAAGCTTCAACTTCGTTTGTTTCACCATCCAAAACACTATAGTTTCATTGTTCTCTTATTATGTCACGTGTATAGATTTAACATCTATTCATATTATGTATGTAGATTTAAAAGCATATAGTCGAAACCGGCTTCAGTAGGTTGCCTTGATATGTAAAATTGTTCCTCGCTTACTATTTTGTATGCATAGATTCGAAAGCAGGTTGTTATTATGTGTGTAAAACTATAAGCACATTTATATTATGTGTGTGATTTGAAAGTGTGTTGTTATTATAGAACTGATAAAATATTCATATTATGTGTAAATTTGACTGTTATTATGTGTATACAACTATAACTACTAAACTTCTATGTGTATAAGATTTTAAATAAGTTTCAATAATGTACGGTCCATAGTTAAAGAAACATATTTAAAACCCATGATGTATAGAATAGGGATTTTATAAAAGTATGTGATATAATTATATATCATACTCTTTTTACTTGGTTAAGTTTTGATGAGGGTATTTCTATGTAGTTGTTTTGATTTGGGGTCCAGAACAAAATTTGATGCCAATGAATCATATCATGTTGCTTAAGAGATTCTAAGGGCGATTTTTTTTAAGGAGGGAATATTGTAACACCTAAAATTTTGGCAAGGTGAGGTTTTGAATACTTGGAAATTTGGGTTTTACTGTATTCGTTAGTATGTTTGTATTATAGTATAATATCATGTAATATAAGTTGTCAAAGTTTTGGAAAGTTTTGGAAGTAGGATGTTATAAGTGCTAAATTTCTTAAGTCTTATGTTTCACTTGGGACTCCTTATGTAAGTCCATTTGTTGTGTCGGATTTGAGTGCTTTTGTTATTAAATGTGTGTATGTAATGTCAAAAGAATGTATAAAGATGATAATATGTGGCTGTATACTTTATAAGTAGAATGAAGTGTTGATGATGATCTAAGATGATAAAAGAGCTCATTGGATACTTCTTGGCTATGGTGGAAGTAATCTAATACAATGTAGAGATAATAATATTTAGTTTGATAGTAAATCTCTTGAGCAGATAAAGTTATTGGTGTTGTTGATATACATATGATGCTTCCATCATGTGTTCAAAGTTAGCAACAACATATGGAAAAGATTCAAATATAGTCTTAGAACAAACTATGTGAACAAGAATAAGAGATTGATCAATATTTTTGTAAAATAATTTATACATGTGGTAAGACAAGTCTTTCTAAAGGGTTGTTAGAGTCTAGTAAGAGACTAGTCTGACTTTGTCAGACGTTAAGCTTCTTATTTGATATAGTCTCTAATATGTCTTTTATAGGGTCTGATAAAAGACTGATTTGACTCCATCAACAACTATCACACAACTCGACCGATACACAATCCCAATAAACACAATGTTATTATAGTTTTTTTTTATGTTTTTGTTGTGCATGATTTTGTAATTTTGTAAAACAAATATATATAGTATTTCAAGTATACATTTGCTTACACATTCTAAACTAAAAGCATCTCTTATATATCAAAAAATAAAGCATTTAACCCATACATACTTCTTGACATATTACCTCCCATATCAAAACCACCACCATCTTCTTTGTCGACGAGTCCTCTACCATACATCAAATAAGCAAATTAGTATGTACATTATTATATTATATAAACACGCATTTAAAAAATGATTATGTGAGATATCAAATAATCAATTAAAACCTTTTGATCGTTTTTTGGGGCTCCTATTACTATCGGTTGAGAAAGAACACCATTGTCAATATTCTCAATATAAGGTTGTAGCTTCTCTTCCAACATCTTGTTCAACTAAAAATCACACTTGTTTGGTGAAATTTCACACACAAAGATTAATTTTAATTTTAATAAATTATTATATAACCTTTTACCTTTTCTTGGCGCCATTTTGTCTCCCATTGATCATCTAAAATCTTTTCTGCAATTTCTCTTTGTGCGTTCAAAAGAACTGTCATTTCATATAACTTTTTTGGATCTTTTAAATCTTCCTCACTCCATGAAGATGCATTTAATGGGACATTTAGCTCCTACAAAAAAAAAATTTAAAACTTGTGCAAGTTATACTTTTGGTCCTTGAGTTTAGCTGATTTTTTCGGTTTTGGTCCCTAAAGAAATCGGGTTACCATTTTGATCCTTATTTTGAAGTTTTTCAAGGTTTTGGTCCCTAAGTTGTGTAACTTAACAGTAAAATGACCATTTTGCCCTTGGACCAAACCCAAAAAAAAAAAAAAAACAGTATACCACAAGGATGTATGAAAAAAAAAAAAATAACAAAAACATATATAGTAATTTACTCCAAACCTTAATTAAAAAAAAAATCAGTAAAGATTACAAATTTGGTCCACATGCTATACTTTTTTCAGTTTTGGTCCAAGGGCAAAATGGTCATTTTAAAAAAAATATCACAGCTAGGCTGTTAACTTAGACAATCAGGAAGAAAAAGTGTCATGATTCATGAAGCAGTGAAACAAGGTCCACAAACTGCAACCCGATTCTTTTAGGGACCAAAACCGAAAAAATCAAGTAAACACAGGGACCAAATATGTAATTTATTAGTTTATACCCCCCAGTTTTGAGGTCTTGGTGGTGGATTGAGCTTCATAACTTCTCCTTCTAATTTGGTTTTTGCTTTGTAGTAAGGAATGTTCTTTACAACCACTGGATCATTTCTTGCACGTTCTGGATCCATTGAGATCAATCCCTAAACATGTAAATATAATTAATTAATTAATTAATTAATTTCTCATTTGGGTTTAAAAATTATAAATTATAAATTTATCTCACTTCTTGTAAATACTCCCATCCAGGTTTTCTCATTGCTACAGCATCACGAAGTTGATCATATCGCATATTTTCCTAAATAAAAACAAAAGAAGGTATTTTTTGTTTTTTATTTCTTAATAAAATTGAAATAATTAAAAAAAAAAAAAGAAAGAAAGAAGAACCTTGTATTGCCACCATATTTTTTGTTTGACCTCATCATCATATTCAAATCCTCCCATGATTTGAGGCATTGTGATTAACCAAAATGCAGCAATGCTTGGGTCTTTCATGCTGTCAATAATATGCTGAAATAAAAACAAAAAAAAACAGATGTTTTGAACTGAGGATAATTGTTACAAGAGGAAAAGTGGAAAAGGGTATAATTGTAATTTGCACCTACCTCATAAGGGTAGTCCATTTTTTTCATTATGTTGTAAGCTTTCCATGGTGGCTCGATAATCTGCAAAGTGGATAAATTACTATTTGCTTAAGAACTCAAAACTGAATATATTATAGCTATCCAAATTAAGTGCTTAAACCAATAAGTTCATTAAATTTAAAAAGAAACAGCTTGTTCAGATACTCACATCATCAGCAGATATCCTGACTTGTAATTTATCCTTGCACTCAGGGCATTTCATTACACCCTACAAAAAATTAGTAAGCTAGTTTACATGAAGAAAAGTAAAAAAGTTTATAAATTTTAATTTTTATGTTTAGTGGCTTAATGCTTACAGATCCATCACAGGAATCACAGTCTTTTGATGGCAATGGAACATTTAGATCCATGGTGGCTGGAAGATGAACAAGCTCTGCTCTATTTTCAGCAATGGCATCCGCAATAGCTTCAGCTGTTGCTTTTTCACCACTGAAGAAAAAATTTTAACATAATTAAATCAAGATTATAAAATGAAATCAAGAAAGTATAAAAGATTTTAAACATACCTTCTTAATGTGTAGTTTTTCACTTGATACATGACCTTCCCTGTGCCTCTGCACATGGTGCATCTTAACGCGTTCCATCCATTGCAAGTTTGACAGTTTCTGCAAGTTTGAAGCCACAACAAGCTCATATCATGTAATTTCCAGAATCCAGACATTAAATCTGGAATCAAACTCCTAAAATCATCACTAAATGCATTTTTAAGCTTGGAATTGAAACGAGAACAGGTAGTAATGATAGAATGGAAGAGTTTACATCAATGAAAGAAAGAAAGAAGCACCTTTGACAAATCACTTTTTTCCCTAATTCGAGTGCGATATCACATGTCCCAAGAGCAGCAACTGCCTGAAGATAAACGACGACATACAGGATTATGTTTCAGTAATTTAATCGTATCCCACTGCAAACCCCCAATTCAACAAACCCAAAATGACAATTTGGAGATGAACTTATCTCCGACTAAAACCTCGAATTCAACAAAACCCTAAATGTTTATCATTATCAATGCAGATGAAGCGAAGTGGTAAGAACATACAAAGATTGCAGAATATGAGAGCTTGGAGATGAACTCCGGGATGCCAAAACCACGAGGAGCGGAGCCGGAAATGTCATTAGGGATAGTGAACGGAGACAATACAATTTTGATAGGTAAGTCGAACAAGTTAGCCAAGGGTTCGCTTAAGTGTTGATTGAAGAATCTGACTTGACCATCGAGCAATCCCTTGGCGTTCTTGATGAATTGATTAGTGCCATTCCCCATTGTTGGAAGGGGTAGAACGTCAATGGATAGAGGTAGGTGATGATATACCCCTGACCCAAATGGTCATATCCGGGGACTACGGTGGTCTTGTAACCAAACAGTGTAGTAAATCAAATAGACTTGCCCGCAAACTTAAAAATAAAAAATAGAGAAAATGACAAAAATAGCTAATTATCCTAATCACTTTGCGGAAAATAGCAAAAAAAAATCGAAATTGTAAAAATGGCCTTCAAAATCGCAGATGGGAATGGTCCATCTGCGATTTGACTTTTCCATCTGCGAATGTACAAGTACCTAAAGCATAGTTGTGCTTTAGGTACTTGTACATTCGCAGATGGAAAAGTCCATCTGCGATTTTCACTATACACCTGCGATTTTTCGCAGGAAATTCTATAAAAGGATTTTTTTTTTCCTCATTTTTCACTCTTCAATATAGAAAAACTCTCTCTCTCGGGGATTCCTTTTGACGATTTCTTGAAGAAAATGAACGATTACTTCAACAATCCCGAAAATATGGTTAGATTTTAACTCTTTTTATGTTTATTATTTAATTATTTATTGTATTAGTTAGTGTAAAAAAAAGAAATTATATTGTTTGTGATAGGGTAATTTTGTTGTATTTGATAATTTAATATTTGTTATTACTAAACTTGAAGTTGAAATGCTATTTTGTTAGTGGTTGTATAAATGTACAAGTAGAGATTGCGTAGAGTGTGCATCGGGTAGTTGTACATTTAGTCAAATGGTTAGAATATGCTTATTTTTTTAAGTTAGTAGTTAAATAAATTGTTAGAATAATGTTTACAATATGTTTGGTTAGTGGTTTACAATATGTTTGGTTAGAATATGTTATTTTATATAATTTGAAACTTAAAAATTGTTTGTATATTTCTCGTATAAGTTGAAAATTTGTTAGTTTAGTTGTCGTTTTAGTTGAAAAATTGTTTGTTCTTGTTTATATGGTTAGAAAATGTTATTTGATATAATTAGAAAGATAAAAATCGTTTGTATATTTGTCGTATTACTTGGAAAATTGTTTATATAGTTACCGTTTAAGTTGAAAAATTGTTATAGTATGTTATTGTTTTTTAGCGTAAATATATAAATTATTTATTAAATATTTGTATTTGCATTGTTATTATGTTATTATTGCATTTAATAATAAAATATTTTAAAATGAAATAGTTGTTTAGTTTTCTAATATGTTATTGTGTTTTTTGCAGCATAATTCTAATTATTTCGATGTGAAAGCTATTGTAAACTTAAAGGGATCGGGGTGTAACATATGGGAAGTGTTTGAAGTGTTAGATGGTGTGAGATGTGAAATATTTAGAGATATAGTATTTGGTTATTTGTTGGACGTCCCTCGTTTACAAGGGGACAGATTGTTGTTCCACAAAATGTTCCTTCATCAGATACGGCCGGACGCTGTTTTATCTCCAGATGGAATAAAACGGTTATATTTTAGAGTAGCCGATACGAAATTGTTATATGGGCCGGAAGAGTTTTGTTTGATAACTGGGTTGAAATTTGTGGAGTATCCAAAAAACATCGGGAAAAAAGTGTCAGAAAAAATAGTTAGTACTAAAAAAAGATGTTTATTGCGTGAGCGGCTATTTCCGAACCATACAAATAGTTCGGTGAAAATCGGTGACCTGAAAAGTTTTATTTTAAATCAACCATTTTTAGAAGTTGACGATGCCGATGCAGTTAGAGTATGTTTGATTTACATTTTATGTGAAGGTTTTTTGGGAAAAGAAATAAATGATCGCGTGCCACAAGATTGGTTTTTTTTTGCTGAGAATTTAGATGTTTGGAACATGTATTTTTTCTTTACTTTGATACTTTTATATTATTAATGTTAAGTTATATTATAACTAAATTTTTTTTGTTTTGTTAGTTTCGCTTGGGGTAGCTATTTATGGGATTTTACGTATGATGACCTTGAGGATACATAGAACAAGATAAATAAATATTTATCACTTCCTGAGCGTCGTCAAACTTTAAATACACTGTCTCAGGATTTACGGCTCCAATTAGGGTATAAAAATTTACTTATATTTAAATGGTTTTATTGTTATGATAATTTTTTTAATTTTAACTTTTATTACTATAATTGTAAAAATTGTAGATATGGATATATGAAATGCTTTCGGCTGTTCGTGCGTGTGGATTTGTATTGAGAAAAAATAGAGACATGCCTCGGATGAAACGATGGAGTGGGACAAAAAAATTGAAATTGGTTGATGTGAACAAGATTTTTTCAAAGATACAGGTTTATAAATTTTTTTTAATTATTAATAAAATTCATTATTATACTTTTATATGCAATTTTAATATGTTCTATTTTTTAGGAGGGACAACCACCAAGAAATAAAATGTCACCGAGTGATGATGAGATGACATCTTTTTATTATATGTCATTTCAAGAGTATGTATATGGTGAACGGAAATCAGTTCCATCCCCAGTACGGGACCATTTTAGGAGACAAGACGAATCTTCGTCTAGTATGTCGTCTAGTGGTCGCTCTCATGGTAGAGGTAGGCACAGCGGAAAACCCAACCTAGAGGAGGTGTTGAAACGGCTACATGTACTGGAGCAACATGTGTTTACGAACTGAGAACCTACAGAGGTGTTTGTTGAAGAAGTAAATAATGAAGATCTATGGAATAACATAAGTTTTGAGGAGCCTGCAGTATTCCAAACAAAATTTGATGAACGGGTTAGTTACACGCTACATTATTTTTTTTAATTTATTAACATATATTAATATTTGTGTTCATATTTTATATTTGCAAATTTAGGTTGTAGAAGATGAAGTGATGAATTAAAATAATACAAATGAATATATTTTTGGTGATATTGAAGACGACAAGGTTATTATAGATATTACATTTATGATTTTAATAATTTATTTTTAATGTTTCTTTCGTTAATAACTAAAATGTGTTAATTTTAATGTAGGAGTTAGAGTAGAGGAATGAGAATGCGGGTTGTAGTAGGAACAAATTTGATGATGATGTGTTTGATGTAAATGATAATGAAGCTAAAGAGGTTGTTATACTTACATTTATTTTAATATTTATTTAGTAGATTGAAACATGTTTTAATTAGAGATTTTTGCTTATTAATTTAGGTGTCGGAGGAAGATGAAATACAAATTACGGGAAATGTAGATTATTATGATGCTTATGGTTTTGATGGCAAAGAAGTTACACCCGATAAACCGAGGGCTCGAAATCCATCAAAGTATTTGTGCCCTCCGTACACCGAGGTATTCGTTTAATTTAAAAACTTATATCGTAATAATAGAATTTTTTTTATGTGAATTATTTGAAAGATAGAGATGTAAACATTTCAATATTGTTTTAGCTGCACACAACACCGAAACAAAAAAGAAGAGCAAAAAAGAAGGTTGATATGAAATCAAGAAGCCCCGTTCCTCCTCCAGCATTTGATGTTGCTCACGACTTCTCCGTGTTGCGCCTGCAACCTTACGTAGCAGGCGGTGAGGTTGTGATCCAGAATTATTTATTTCATTCATATGACGTGCAGCATCGTTTGTTTAATTTGGTGTTAGATAGAGAATTTTGGAGCGCCTTGTTTGGGCATACACACGACGGATGGTTGGAGTCAGTGGTAAAATAATACTTAATTTATTTTTTTAAAAGTATTTTCTTTTTTACTTATTAACAAAAGTATCATAATATTGTGCAGCATATCACCCTTTGGTATAGAATACTGATGGAGAGACGTTTTGATAACGACCGACATACAATAATGCCGGCAAATTTTTTTGTTTGCCATGCTTTGGAGGAAGGGCAGGATTGGAGGGCGTTTATGGTTGGTATTGCTAAATACCCCAACTTCATGGTTGCTTGGTGGGATGTCGATACGGTAAACTAAATTTTATTTTTTTAAAATATTATCGTTATTGTCGTTATGTTTTGGTATTCTTATTTCTAAACAAAATTTATTTCTTTTTTTATCCTTATACAGGTCCTATTACCGATTCATTCATCCCCTAATCACTGGTTATTTGGGGAACTTCGATTGGCGAATATGGAAGTCCATATTTATGACAGTCTCGGTAGAGTGACTTATGAAAATTTCAAGCGTGATGGAACCTTTACCAAATTTGAGGCTCGGGTGGCAAATTATTTAGACAAGATTAACTATTGGGCCCGGAGGAACATCCCAAGGATTCCATTGAATATGCAATTCATATTTGAAACAAATGTTCCCCAACAAAGTAGCCATTTGGGAGATTGCGGTGTATTTGTTTGTATGTTTATGGAACAATTAGTTTCAGGCCAACCAATACGTGAACTTATTGACCCAAGGAACGCAGCTTTAGAGTCTCGCCAACGGATGGCAAAAATTTATTGGGGGTCGAGTCTTGGTCCTATGTAGTTGGATCTTATATTTGTATATGTAATTGTATGTTGAATTTAATGACCTAGTAATAACTTAAATACTTACAACATAAGAACGACACCACCATTTGTTTTAAAGTAACAAGTACAATGCTCTAAACATAACAACAAATACAACAATTTATTGATGTAACAAATACTAAAAAGCTTACAACTTGTAAATAATAATCGCCAAAAACATCACCCAACTACAAACCAAGGCTATCTTTAACTGCTTATTTTCTGATTGAAAGAGTTTGTTACTGTTAGCTATTTTAGCTATTATGATAAATGATTGGTCCTTCTCTTCATCAACCCAACTAATAAACCCGCATTTTGGTCCCTGTAAATTTAAACATTGACAATAAAAATTGTTGCTATATAATGATTAGAGTGTAAATATGAATGAAGTTAAGAACATGATACCAAATATGGGCAAGCGTAAAATAATCTTCCTGGGTTTTTAGTTGTACTCGAAATCCTACTGATACGTTCACCTCCGCAGTTACAGTATGCCATTCGCCTTTTTTAGTCTATCTAATATGAATTAATTTCACATATAAATTTAATGGAGTTACATTACACCCATTTATAGAAGAAATTTTATTACAAACAAATATCTTTGACTATGAAATGAATTGGTTTGACTACGAATTTAAAAAGTTGAACTATGAACTGC